CGATTTGAATCTCAACATTTCTCATTATCCCATCGCTATTCAGTTATTAAGCGCCTGGTAATGTTCTACTCCGATTTGTACAAATTGAGTGTCCTCCTTGCTTGGGTATGGTGTTTGACGATCTAATTGACGATATGTAAGCTGGATTAATTCTATTTTACTGCAATAGTTTCTGGATCATTAGACGATCGTGTCCAGAAATCTGGGGTGCTTTTGGTCTATTGATTGCTTATTTTGTGGATATCATCTGTTATAATGCTTGCTATCTAACAAGGAAAAGTACCGATTCTCAGCTTCTACCTGGAAACTCACTCTATCTCTATCTGTTTGTGTGTGTGGATATAGTTTGATTTTGCCTATGGGAATTTATCGTCAAAACATTGATTGTCAGCAAATAAATTGAGAGAGGTTTTTGTAGTTTATATGTTGCTATGAAGCTTAGAAAATACGATATGAACAAAATTTTGGGATATTGCATAGGCATAGTTAAGAGTGAATGCCATTACACTCTAGTGTTATGAAGTTCCCTAATGATAGTATTGAATATGATGTCTAGTGATTATTTATGTTCTGTGCCCTTTAATTTTGTTTTTTGTTAAACATTTAGCTTTATTTAGTAGATAAGAGTGAGCACGTCTAGAAATGGTTTGAAAATTAGAAATTTATCTTAATACGACAGTAAATGTATAACCTCTTTTCACTTGCTAGGAAGGCCAGATAAGGTATTGATGTTGTCCTCATTGGAATTTTATCCGAGGAATAATCGCCTGAAGAGGAAAATAAAATCATAAATCATTTCGCAATCCAATTTGGAATACTGGACCAGATTTATTCTTTTTGTCTTTCCTATTTAATAGATGTAGGTAGACTGAATAAAGGAAAGACCCGCAGACAGAACGTGCGGCGCTTTTTAGATGCATGTGGTGGGGACAAAAAGGTTTAAGTCACCAGCCATCCACCCTGTTAGAAAAGGATTTGCACAAAACCAGAAGACATAAACTTGAATTAAATTTTAAATCGACGAAATTCATAATTGTGTAGCTTCAACTAAGCAACTTAACAAAGGTGTTCTTTGGTGGGGTTACAAAAGAAATATAGAGATGAAATGGAGGACACCATAATGTGACTCCACAAAAAATGTCAGAACACATTGTCTCTTGCCTTTGCTGGAATTTCGATTATGAGCCGGTACACTATGTGAACACATTAGGATTGTCTTTGCAGGATAAAATCGGGAGTTTCATTGACAAAAGGATAAGTTCTGCTCATGAATCTGCAAATTCAGCAAACATATCATAAGAAGAAGGTTTTTGAGTCTTTTGACAATGTTGTAATGCAATAAATGATTAAATTCTTGATAATGGGTTGTCAAATGTATATTCTGTTAGATGCATTGTTCTTTTTTGAATGTATGTTGCAAAATAAAAAACATATACTGCAAACCTTACAGAAACCATAATTGGAAGAAGGATCAAGAAAGTCCTCGACCGGCCACCCGGTTATTGTCTCCATCAAATACTCTGAAATACTATTATTTGTTGAGTCCGAATACTGCTTGTTCGGAATCTGGCTCGACTCGCTGTCCCTGAATGGATTAGATGCTGACTCGGAACCGTATGAAATCGAGTTCTGCTGGTAATAACCATTAACTTTGATTTCCTGTTCGGTCCGTGATCCACTAGAGGAGGTCCCAGCTTCATATGACGAGGCAGCGGCCGAGAGCTTGACACCCGTCAGTAAGAACCTGTTGTGCTTTTCGGTGAGGTCATTGGCTTTGTGTATTGGTATGTCACAATCTCTGCAGAGCAGTGCCCTATCTTCTTGGCAGAATAGCAATGCCTGCCTATCCTGTAAAGTGTAAACATAGCCGAAATTTGTTTATTTCTTCTTTTAATTTTCTATTGGCAAAATTGCATATAAAGACACCACCTTTTGCTATTTGTGTTTAAATTACCACCTTTCATATGTTTCTGCAGATCGAAGCATAGATTTAACTTCCGTTAGATTTTCCATCTGTACCAAGTCAGCCACGTAGAAATTTCGTATATGACAAGTCAGCTCTAATCTAACGGAATTTAAATTTATGCTTCGATTTGCAAAACATATGAAAGGTGGCGATTTAAATGCAAATAGCAAAAGGTGGTGATTAAATTACAAAAGCCTTAAAGGTGGTGCCTTTATATGCAGTTTTGCCTTTTCTATTAGTCATTTCTTGAATTTGATAAGAGTTTTTGATAATGTAACCTGGCAAATGTCACAGTTTGGAGATTCTTTGAACTGAGGGCTGAGAAGGGAAAATCGAGGGTGCTTGCTCGCGAGCTTATTCGCGTTGTGAACTCGATTGTCGCACATATGGCAAAGGGCAGCCTCGTCCGAGGCGCAGAAAACAGTTGCTGATTCTTTTCCGCATACGTCACATTGGATCTTCATTCTTGCTAATTTTGTAAGTAACAGATTTTTTTTTTTTTTTTTGGCTTTCT